CTGTGTATATATGGCTGAATTATGTTTGCTAGTATTTTGGTAAGGATTTTTGTATCCATGTTCATGAATAACACTAGTCTATAGTTTACTTTCTGTCTCTCTAGTTTTGCTATCAAGGCATACGGACCTCAAAAAATAAATTGGGAAGTATTTACTTCTCTTCTATTTTCGGGAAGATATTGTGTTGAATTGGTGTTATTTTTTTCTTTAAGTATTCATAGAATTCTCCAGTGAAACCATCTGGGCCTGGAAAGTGTTTTAGGAAGGGTTTTCCTTTCTTACAAATGTCCTTACTAGTTACAGGGCTGTTCAAATGACTTGTTTCAAATTGGAACAGTTTAGATAATGTATTAGTTTCCTAAGCCTTCCATAACAAAATGCCACTAACTGAGGGACTTAGAACAGAAATGTATTGTCTCACAGTTCTGGAAGATAGAAGTCCAAAATTAAGGTGTCAGCAGAGTTGTGCTCCCTCTGAAACTTCCAAGAGAAGGATCCTTCATTGGCTTCTGGTAGTCCCAGACACCCCTTGGTTTATGGAAGTGTAATTCCAATCTCTGCTTCCCTCATCACATGGCTCTCTCCCCGGGTCTCTTCGTATCATCTTCACTCTACATGCGTCCATATCCAGATTTCCCATTTTTATAAGGACATCTGTCATATTGGATTAGGGCCCACCCCAATGACCTCATCTTAACTTGCTGAGATCTGCGAAGGCTTTGTTTCCCAATGTATTCACATCCTGAATTACTGGGGGTTAGGATTTCAACATATCTTTTTTGGGAGAACACAATTCAACCCATAACAAGGACTTTGTGTTTTTCAAGGAATTGGTCCTTTTCATCTAAGGTGTCAAATTTACGTGTGCAGAATTGTTCACAGTATTCTCTTATTTATCTTTTGATGACTGCAGGATCTGTGATGACCCCCTATTACCGACTAATGTCAGTAATTTGTACCTTCTTGGTTTTGGGTCCATTTTGCTAAAAGTCTGCCAATTTTATTGATCTTTTTAAAGATGCATCTCTTTGTTTCATTCATTTTTAAATTGTTTTTCTGTTTCAATTTCATTGATTTCTATTCTTTATTATTTCCATCCCTTCTCTTGATCGAGGTTTATTCTGCTCGTTTTTGGCTAAGTGCTTGAGGAAGGAGCTTAGATTATTGATCTGGGAATTTTTCACTTTTCTAATACGTGCATTGACCATGATAAATTTCTCCACCTGGTTAACTATTTCCACAAATTTTGATATGCTGTATTTTCATCTTCGGTAGATTCGTTGTGTTTTTAAAAGTGTTTTTTAAAGTTTATTTATTTATTTTGAGAGAGAGAGAGAGAGAGAGAGAGAGAGAGAGAGAGAGAGAGAGAGTCCCAGCCAGGCTCTGCACTATCTGCACAGAGTCCAACATGGGTCTCAATCCCATGAACCATGAGATTACGACCTGGGCTGAAACTAGGAGTTGGATGTTTAACCTACGGAGCCACACAGGAGCCCCTAAAATTTTTTTGAGACTTCTTCTTTGACACATGCATTATTTATAAGTGTGTTGTTTAGTTTTTAAGGTTTGGATTATTTTTCTCTTATTTTTCTGTTCTTGATTTCTTCTCTATTCCATTGCAGTTGGGGAACACAACCGTATATGCTTTCAATTCTTTTAAATTTGTTGAGATTTGCTTTGTGCTCTAGGTTATGGTCTATCTTGTCATCTGTTCCATAGACACTTTTAAAAAACTGTGTATTCTGTTCTATTTAGGTGCAGTGCTTTCTAAATTTCATTGGATCTTATTGGTTTATGATTCCATTAAGTCTTATATCCTTGATGATTTTCTATCTAGTTTACCAATTGTTAAGAAAGAGTGGTTGAAGTCTGTGACTATAATTGTGGATTTGCCTATTTCTCCATTCTGTTCTATTAGTTTGTTGCTTCACATATTTTGCAGCTCTGTTGTTCGGTATGTACATATTAAGGGTTGCTATGTTTTCTTGGTGGGCTGACCTTTTTATCACTATATAATCTCTCTGTCTCTGGCAATTTCATTTGCTCTAATGTCTATTGTACCCAATGTTAACATAGTCACACATGCTTTCTCTTGAATAATGTTTGCACGATATATATTTTTCCACATTTTCATTTCACCCTTCTTATATAGTTCTATTTGAAAATAATTTCTTACAGACAGCATATAATTGGTCAAGTTTTTATTCCACTCTGCCAATTTTGGTCTTTTAATTGTATTTAGACCATTTACACTTAATGTAATTATCAATATACTAGGGCTTAAGATTGGCATTTTATGTTTTTTTTGTTTTCTCTCTCTTTTTTTTCTGTTTCCTTTTACCGGCCTTACTGTGGCTACTTAGCATTTTTATTATTTTAATTTCATTCATCCATAATGTTTTGAGCATATCTATTTATATAGCTTTTCTTAATGATTTATTACATATTGCATTATATATTTATTATATATATGTATATATGTATATAATATATATATCTTACCATAGTCTACTGGTATTTTCAATTTATCAGTTTGAGCACAATATAGAAATCTAAAATCTCATGTGTCCCTTTATCTTCTTCCTTTTATAATATAACTGTCTGACATGTTTCCTCTACATACATTTAGAAGCATATCTGAGATCGTTTCTAATTTTTGCTTTGTCAAATATAATTTAGAAAATTTGAAACAAAATACTTTTGTATTTACCATACTACTGCTGATGGCGTTCTTCTTTTCTGATGTTCCAAGATTTCTTCCTTATAATTTCCTTTACATTTAGAGAAACTTCCTTAGCCATTCTTTCAGGGTAGGTCTATTGGTGACAAATTATCTTAGTTTTCATTCATCTGAAAATGCCTTGATTTCATTTTCACTTCTGAATAATATTTTCACTGGACAATGGATATTGTGTTGACAGCTCTTTTCCTCAGTATTTGAAAAATGTCGTGTCACTAACTTCTGTCTCCATGGTTTCTGATAAGAAACCCACTGTTATTTGAACTGTTTTCCTTGATGGGTAAGGCAATCTTTCTCCATGACTGCTTTCAGTATTTTGCACATGTCCTTAATTTTCAGAAGTTTGTGATGGGCCTTAGTGTGGATTCCTTTGTGTTTATCATGTTTGGATTTTTCTCAGCTTCTTGAACCTACAACTTTATGTCTTTTGCCAAATGTACAAATTTTTCAGCCATTTTTCTTCACACGTTCCAGAGGCTCTGTTGCTTTTGTTTTTTAAGTCTATTTTCTGTATTTCTACGTTCAGCTTAGATGATTTACAAAATTTCATCTTCCAGCTCACTAATTTTTCTCCTCCACCCTCTTCACTGTTCTGTGAAATCATCCATTTAGTGTCTTATGTTGATTGTTGTATATTTAGGTTTTAATATTTCCCTTTGGCTTTTCTTTATGTATTCTATTGGCTTGCTAAGATTCTCTTAGGCTGTCTTTCAATTTCTCATTCATTTCAAGTGTGTTTGTAGTTGCTCATTGAAGCAGTTTTATTATGGATACTTTAAATTATTTGTCAGATAATTATAGCATCTCTGTCATCTCAGTGTTGGCATCTATTGATTTTTTTTTCATTCAGTTTGGAGTCTTCCTGGTTCTTACTATGCTAAGTAATTTTCTACCAAAGTCCTTGCATTTGGGGTATTATGTTAGGAGACTGTGAATCCCATTTAAAGATTTGTTTTTGTTGACTTCTTTTGGTGCTGCTCCTACAGGACAAAGGGGCTGGGTGGGGAGGTGATACTGCCTCATTGGTGCTAGGTAGGGATGAGTCTAGGTTCCCCTCTTGACTTTCTTTGACACTTGAGGGAGAGGGATGTCCTCCTTGCTGCTAGATATGGATGGGGGTTCAGGCTTCTCACTAGTCCTAAGCTTCCATCACTAGTCTGGTAGAAGTGCCTAGGTATCGTTTCCCATGTGGTCTCATTACTTCTGGGTGGTAGCAAAAGATCTGATTCTCCCACCCTGCCATGCCTAATGGTGGGGTGGGGGGGGGAGGCATCATTACTGCTGTGCTGTATGAAAATACAGGTTTCATGGACACCAAGATGGGGAGGGATGGCTACAAATGCCTGGCTCCCTACTCAGCCTTCTCTGACACCAGCTGAGTTGGGGAATTGGGATTCTTCCTTAGAGCCTCGAAACAGTAGAATCTGGGTTTCCCACTTGTCTTTTGATGGTGTTGGTAAGATGGGACTACGGGATGTGTGCGTGTGTGTGCGTGTGTGTGTGCGTGTGTGTGTGTGTGTGTGTGTGTGTGTGTGCATGTGTGTGTGTTCGGCCAGAGCATCGCCATTACTATCTGCAAATCTTCTGTCTTGTTAAACTGCCCCTTTTCTGGTCCTATGGCTAGAGAGAGGAGAGGTGTTTTGCCTGCACCCACCGACATTTCCAGTTTGCCAACTTCTTCCGCCCCCACATCTGGGATATGTGCAGCCAAAAGAAAACCGAGGAACTCCCCACAATGTCAGTCCTTGTGGCCCAAGTTCCCTAGCTTGTCTGCCTTCTTCTGTGTACCTTTGTGTCTTCTTCTATTTTATAATCTCCAGAGTTTTTAGCTGCCCTTACCAGGAGAATAGGGCAAATACACACACTCCATCTTCCCATTTGTGGAAGCTCTCTGATTTTCTTTTAATATATATATATATATATTTATAATGAAAAAGGATCAGAGTCAACAGTGTCCTCTCAAAAGTCATTTGTTAACACCGACGTCTTTCTTCTGAAAACGAATGTCATTTTTGCTCAAGGAGATGCTGAAGCAGGCCCTTGGGGATTTCTCTGACGGCCCTTCCTTCCAGGGCCTGGGTGCTGGCCTCTGATGGATGACCACAGTCATGGGTTTGGAGACCTCTATGTGCACACGAGCTTCTAGCAGGCAAGAAGTGAGTGAGTCACAATTAAGCAAAATGAGTTAGATGAAGAATTTGAGAAGCAAAAACAGGAAGGAGAGGCCACGTAAAGAAAGACTAGTTGGGAGATCAAGGACAGTATTGCTCTGACTTATCAGCCAATTACATGGTAGAAGACACCAAAAATAACATCAGATCTAGCAACGCAAACAAGGGAATGGTGCGCGACCAGTGGGGAATGTGGGCATTGCCAGCAGTAGAGCGCGAACGAGGGAAAGTGGGTGAACAACTTCAGGGCTGAGACCCGCCGCACCCCAGAGGCAGAGGGGAGGAGACGCGACGGCAGGGCGGAGGGGAGAGAGACGTTCAGAGTCACCTCTGCTGGGCTCCGGGAGAGGCCGGGAAAGCTCCGAGGGAGCCTCCAGCGCCCTGGACCCGGGCTGCGGCGGCGGAGGGCAAAGGGTTGGAGCTCGGGCCCAGCGAGCCAGCGCGATCGGAGGGGCGACAGGGAGGGGAGCTCCCAGCGGTCGCGGCGGGCAGCGCTTCCCGGCCGGGGCGGAGCGTGTCCCCGACAGCGGTCCCAGCCTGCGCGCGCCCGTCCGTGCGCTCCGGGCACCGGCTCCTCGCGCCAGACTTCCGTCCTTCGCGCGCGCTTGCCGCCTTTCTCCCCCGCGCGCGCGTCGCCAATGGATGGCAACTCCCTGCTCTCCGTACCGAGGTAAGACCCGCTTCCCCCTTGGCCCCACCCAGTGGCCCTCGAACTCCGTCGCGCGCCCCCGGTCGCTCCCGAACTTGCTCCGGGGACTCCAGGGTCTGAGCTCGGCTTGGTCTGGCCCCGGCCGAGCGAGCGGCCCCCGGGGGACGGTGGGCCCCCGTCTAGTGCACCACTGGGCGCGGAGCTGGGTGCGGCCTGCGCGCCGGGGCGGCTGGGGGTCGGGGGACAGCCCGGGCCCGCCTCGGGGGTCGGGGCTGGGGTCGGCTGTACGCGGCGGGAGCCAGACTTTCCGTGGGCACAGCCTGCGCGGGTTTCGCGCCCTGTGGGGGGACGGGCTCCTAGGTGGGGATGAGCCGAGGAGGAGCGAGACCAGGGCAGAGTCCCCATCCCCGTGCATTTGGGTCTGGGCAAAGGGGTGCGAAGGAGGAGGGGGGGTTGCCCCTAATCCCCGACGGCACCCAGGCTGCGCCCCACCGAGACCTGGGACGGCAAGACCCGGTCCGCTCCAGTCCCACCCGCCCCAAGCGTCCCCACATCCTAGGCCGGTCTGCGCTGGCCGAGTGCGCCGCCGGCCTCCACCCCAGCCTGGGGTCCCCACGCGGGGTGGGTCCGGGACGCCGCCTCCGACTCGGCCGGGTGGGAGCAGCGCGTTTCCCTGGAAGCGTCTCTTCCGGTCTCCTTCTCTCCCTTTGCCCCGGTTCCGCGCTCCCTCAGACTCAGTCCTTTGCGAATTTGGGAAACTGAGATTTTTCTATTTCACCCCCCCATAAACCTTAGCGGTAAACTGAGGCTGGAGCGCCGCTGTTCCCTGAGCCGAGCAGGTGGTTTTGCGCTCTTTGCGCAGCTCGAGGAACGACCACCCCGAGCTGCGGCTCCGGGAGGGGGGTGCGGGGGTCTCACTGCCGCCCGCACAGCCCCACCTCTCCTAGGCGAGGGGCTTATAGGTGTCGCTCATCTTGTCATCCCCTACTCCCCCCCTTTCCCCCAAGCACACTTCTAGGCAGTTCCAGCCGAGATGATCAGGCACAGGAATAAACATTTTTCAGCTCGCATTCTTGGAGAGCAGCGAAACCCAACATCCAAGGGCGAGGGCACACATGCAGCTGATACTATATTGCCTAGCGGCCAAGATGGGGATGAGAGTCGAGGGGGGTGGGGGGTGGCAAAGGACCGAGACTGCTTTTCAAGCGCGTTGAAGGCTGCCATCTAGAGACTTGAAGTCTTTATTTATATTCTGTAATGAAATGGAGCTTTCCCAGCTCCACAGGCAATTTCCTTTTTAAGCATCCCTTTTCTGCGGGGTAGCGAAAGGGTCGGAAAAGGCCCACGGTGGTGTCTATGCCTGGCCTGAAGCTGCTGTAAAGTGAAAAATCTGTAACCCTGGGGACAGACACGGTCAAACTAGCATGAAGTCTTCCCATTCTGCCCTAATGCACGAAAAAGACAGTTAAGACCACAGGAAGATTTTTTTTTTTAAGTTATGTATATATATATGTACACACACACACACACACACACACACACACATTGCTACTGATTTTTAGGGAAAAGTGTGAGGCATTTGAAAGTGAAGCCAATTGGGGGTTCCGCTACCTGAGATCATGAGAATTGAAATGGTAAACTGTGATTCCCACATTCCAACAGAGACACTTCTGGTAGGAGACGGATTGCGTTAAATGCAAGTTTGCAGATCAAGGTGCTGGGCCTGAATCAAGATTGTATTCCTATTCAAAAGCTGGGACATTTTCTGAAATATTAAAATTCATTCTGCCAATTATTCTTTAACATTATTTCTGTTGCAGTATTGTAAAAAAAAATGACCTTATGAAGAGCGGACCAACGGCAATGATATTGCTCTGTAAAAATATTAATATTGATTTAATACCAGCTGCAGCAAATTAAATTTTGAATTTAAATTTGAATATTTTTGTCCATTCACCAAGACATATCACATTTCCACAAACCGGCATAGTAATTCAGCTATTTTATCAGCATCCTTACTCATATGAGAGATATTCAGTTAACTCTAATAGATGAGTTAGTTTGATCCTCTATTTCACTGAATACAAGAAACATAATTTACTTTCTATAATATTTAATTGGAAGCCACAGGCATTGATATACAAAAAATAAAGTAGAATTATGAAACAGTGTATGGAAATACTATATTATTCATACCACTTGTCCACAAAACTTTGAATAAAGAATTGATCACTGGAAACTCTACACAAGCTTTTACAAGAATATGGCAATGGTCAGAAAAAATCAAATTGTGGTCAATCAATATGTGTGCTGTCTAAATATGAAATAATGTTTTCAGTGTTTACTAAATTGAGTGATTATAAATCACTTTTTCTATAAAGAATTATAATGCCGTTGAAGAAATTTTGTTTGGCAATGGGGTAGCAAAAAGAAAATGATCTAGCTATACATTGAGTTAATTATAGAATTTTTGGTGTGTTGGCTTTTACATGTTCTGAAATTTTTCAAAGAATCAAAGATATAAACGAAATTTTATTCAAGCAGTGTTTTGTCAAGATTGATCTAAAACTTGTATGTGATTCATACACTGTAGATACTTTGAAGCATTTTTTTTTGAAGCAATTGTTTATGCTTCTTTGGGTTGTTATACTATATATTACCTTACCTCTGTGAAAGCTCCAATTAGTTCTTAATATGACACTTTTAAGTCTACAATACATTATGTGGATCACATTACAGATTTCTTTAAATCACTGGTTGTCAAAGCTGGAAGGTGTTTCCAATAATGGGGCTGAGCTGTGGAAAGATGAAATGTTCCATGTTAGTTGCGTTATAGGTCCAGACCCCACCTGTATCCTGACTAGTAGTCTAGTTCGAGCGAAAAACATAAAACAAAAAAGAAAAAAACAAAAAGCAAAAAAAAAAAAAAATGAAATCTGAAAGTTTTTAAGATAGTCATTTCTTTTACAAAAAGTTTATTTGATTTGCTAAGGTGGCAAAACTAAGTATTATGAAAATGAAAGAGAATCCCAGGACTCTTCAACCAGGATGTTCCATGCCATGGTACCCCGCACTACAATATAGTAACTACCGGTGATGGATGGAAGGGTACCTTCACTTGCATTGGTAACTGGCGTGTGTAAATTAAGGTTTATATTTTATGAAGTGTTAGCCTATGTATGAAATTGTTCGATCAGTCACATCCCTGTGAGTGAATATGACAGATATAACCATCCCCACTTCCTAGGTGAAAAATTTGAAGGAAGAGGAAATTAAATGAAGAAAATAATTGGATTTAAAAAGCCACGCAATAGTATGTAGCAAAACTGAGTCATCCACAGAGTTCGTCTGGCTTCAGGTTTAATTTTCTTTCTTGTATTGATTAAAAATCCATACCTTTTTTTTTTTTTTTTCAAAAGGGGGAAAAAGATTCTGATGCACAGTTGGGACCAACACTGGTATCATTAGAACACATGGGGGCAGCCTAAAAGCAAGGTCATGTTTTAAAGCCGACAAATACTGAAAATGTCATTTTTGCGAACAGAAATAATTTGTCACCTTGATCACATCTAAAGTTGAATTCGAAGTTTCAGAAAGGGGACGTCTCATTTCCTAAATCACTTGGATTTTTTATACTGTACTATTTTTTTTTTATTTCATTTCGTTTGGCTTACCGGATTCTATTTCAGTAATGCTTTTATATGGCACTTTGAATGAGTGACTTATCGAACAAAGATCGACTTTTGAAAAAAAGGAACTCTTTTGATTTAGATTTCCTGTGAGTTTATTTTAACCAAACCTAAGTTTAACCTAGCAACATTTCACTACAACCCGCCACGATCTCCAGGCTTTTCTCTAGGAAAGCTGGTTCTGGAGAAAAACAACTAGATTTTTTTTCTTTTTAATGGAACAAACGAGGTAATACTATAAACTAGACTATGGTCTTCTATCCAGTTTTTATTGAAACGTTATCTGTTTTCGAATTTATACAAAAAGAAAACATCAATAGGACATGACATTTCTGTGTCCTAGATATCTGAAACTCTCAGAAAAGATGAATCCATCACTCCTAACAATTTGAGGGTCAAGGACAAACAACAGACACTGTCTTAAATTTAGTATAAACTGAAGGCCATTCTCATTCCTGGAAATCACATTCTCTTCAAGAGCAGTGCTGGTGTGACCACATTCTCCAACTCAGAATTTTCAAGGAAACATGACCCAAGAGTACTATTTCCTTTAGAGAAAGAAACTGGGAATTAGTCAGTCCTGGTACTGAGGACTCTGAGATCCACATTGCTGTAGCATAATAGGTATCTGAAGAAGAGACAGAAACTCTGAAGGCAATTTACCATAAAAACAATATTATAAAGAGTCTAGAAGTCCACCGATAATCCCACATTTCACATACACTTTTAGGGGCCCCTGGTATCTGTCCATGTGGTTCCTTTAGTATAAAATATGTATCTGATACCCAATAATCAGTTTTTAAATAAACTGTTAGAGCTCTTCTCATTCACAAGGGGTTGCCTTTGTCTGGTACTATTCATTTTAATGGGGTTTTATTCTGTGCATGAGAGTAACAGCTACGGAGGCTTGCAAAGTGGGGTATTTGATGTCAGGAGACCTAGTGTTTAGTCCTGTTCTGGAATTGATGGCTGTGACTAGGCAAGTTGCTTGACCTGTGGCTCTTCTGTCTTCTCCTGGATGTAATGATATAGACCCTGAGTATGCTACTCTGCTGGGTAGCTTTTATTTCTAACCCATAGTGTTATAGACTTTACTGAAACAATGACTCTTAATTGGGCCTGATATGGATGAACATCTCATTCTCCTAAAAGTGACAGATGAAGTTAAGGCATTTAAAGAAACTGAAGCGATATACCCATCCAAAAAAAAAAAAAGTCCAGCTTAGAGAATGTTTTGGTTCATTTTTAACTGAAAAAATGTTTATTTATTTTGACAGAGAGAGGGAGAGAGAGAATCCCAAGCAGGCTTCGCGATGTCCGTGCAGAGCCTGA